GAAGAGTTCTGCTCAAACAGACACCGTTCTCCTAATTTTCAGTCGCGGGGTACCCCAGAGTAGCGGGGGTACATTCTCACCAATTCTCAAGTGAGACTCAGAGGGTCTCTCACCCTTTTCTTAAGCTTCTCACTATCCCTGTTTCCTGTCATCTCTTTATATAAGAAAAAATGTAATATTGTTTCTTCAGTATAAATGGAAAATTAAAGTCATACAAGAATATAAGTTTTGGGCCCACACCTGTAATCCCAGCACTTTGGGAGGCCGAGGTGAGAGGATTGTCTGAGCCCAGGGGCTCGAGACCAACCTGGGCAACTTGGGGAGACCTCGGCTCTACAATATATCAAAAAATGAGCCAGGTGTGGTGGCACGCTCCCAGCTACTTGGGAGACAAAGGTGGAAGGATCACCTGAGCCTAGCAGGTTGAGGCTGTGGTTGCTGTGAGTGTGCCACTGCACTCCAGCCTGGGTAACATAGTGAGACTCTGATTTAAAAGAAGATTATACATTTTAATACTTTGGCAAAAATATAGGCCAGATCCCGCGCCTTTGGGAGGCTGAGGTGAGTGGATTGCCTGAGCCTGAGGGTTTGCGACCCGCCTGGGCAGCGAGACCTCATCTCTACAATACATCAAAAAATCAGCTGGGCGTGGTAGCGCATGCCTGTAATTCCGGCTACTCGGAAGGCTGAGGCAGAAGGATCACCGGAACCCAGCAGGCGAGGCTGCGGTGGCCAGGAGCAGTCACTGCACTCCAGCCTGGGTGACAGAGTGAGACTCCAACTCAAAAAAAAAAAAAAATATATATATATATATATAGGCCAGGAAAAAAATCATAACTTCAGAGTTTGTATTTAACTTTTGAATGTCCCAATAACCTCTTTAAAACTTATTGTTTAATCGCAACTTAATGGCTTTAAGAAAAGTGAATACCTAGTGTGTGAATTGGGTAATGTTTGCAGTTTTTTACATCTGCAGATACCTAGTCCTAAGCAGCTGCCGCATAGAATCTCAGTTTAAGAAAAATACTTTGGAGGGATCGACTGAAGTGGAAAGATCCGTCAGAATGCAGATCTGGTTGTGGCGAGGAAAGCCCAGCTCACTGCACAGGCTTGACTGTGGAAGAAGCTTATTTCTCGAGAGATTAAGCAATGCCTGGAGATAAGGTTCTAGGACCTATGCTTCCTCTACCGCGTGGCTCCTGGCCCTCGTCTGCGTGCCTGAAGATGGTTTCCCGAAGCAGCAGGAAGGGAGGTGGGGCAGGGGAGGGCAGAGCCAAGCCTCTTGAGAACACACCTGGGCAGTCTCATCTCCCTTCCCATCAGCCGCTCCTTGCTGTCAGGGAGGCTGGGAGCTGTGGCCCCTACTGGAATCCAGGAAACAGCCAGCAGTGTCTGTCCTGTGTAAGAGATTAAGTGATGAGTAACTTAGAATCTCTATTGTTTTCATCTGTTAAACAAAATCAACTTATCTTTAGACACGACACAACCATGAGGAAGAGTGTGAGTGGAAGCATCCACAAACATACTATTGAAGTCCACCAAGACAGTGGACAGTGGCTGGAGGAATTGCAAAGTAGTCGTTCTGAAGTTCCAGAAGGTTCTAGAAAGATACCTGAGAAAAGACCCTGCAAAGCCAGAGCTAAGAGAGATGTTGAGGGCGTGCTCAGGAGTAAGGCTTTCTCCTGAGCACACCCTCAGCATCTCTCTCTCCTGAGCACGCTCTCAGCTCTGGGCTGGGCTCAGCTGTGGAGCTGTGACTCTGTCAAACCCTTGGTGATGACCCCTTGGTCAGAGTCGACCCCTTGGTGACAGAAGGACAGCTAACACGGCAGCCTTGGGATCGACCGGGATTCTTTCCCAGGAGTTCCAGCTGGGACCGAGGGGTGCAAGCCATTGTTGCCTATAACCCCAAGAGTCACTCACTCTAAGCTCCAGGGTGAGAGGAAGGCAGGACCCCAGACCGCACCATGCCCCGGTGAGGTGCTGAGGAGGAGAGGCAGGAAACAAAGGAGGAGAGAAGCCTGGCCATTCAGTGGCCCTCGTCCGATGTCAGGAGCTCAGAGTGGGGGGCAGGGTCACACCGCAGCGCCACCACAGGGTTGAGCTCGTGGGCAGACTAGTCGCCATGAGTGGTCGCAGCACCCAGACCACGCGGTCCTCCTGGCGGGCTAAGACCCTGGGCTCCTCCAGGTATCTACAAGACTCTGCCCTGGAACTGCCACATGGAAGAGACACGTGGCCCCAGAACCTTCTTTATGACCAACTTGTTTCAATATTACCAGTCATGTAAGGAGCATAGCACATATGAGAATCCTTAGCACTGGAATACAAGGGGAGACCCCAAACCCAGAACTAATTTATAAACAATTGTGTAGGCTGGGCGTGGTGGCTCAGCCTGTCATCCCAGCACTTTGGGAGGCCAAGGCGAGTGGATTGCCTGAACCCATGGGTTCGAGACCAGCCCAAGCAATTGGCGAGACCTTGTCTCTACAATAAAAATAAAAATATATTAGCTGGGAGTGGTAGCATGCACCTGTAGTTCTGGCTACTTGGAAGGCTGAGGCGGGAGGATCGCTGGAGCCCAGCAGGTCAATGGTGGGGTGGCCATGAGTGTGCCACTGCGCTCCAGCCTGGGCAATGGAGTGAGACTGACTCAAAAAAAATTTATGTGTTATACATACGTGTTTAAACTCCAGTCACCTTCAAAGTGTTCTCTGTTAGATGCAAGACACTTATCAAGACAGTTTTCCACTATTAAAAACAGTTTCTGACCTCATCCGTTTTGAAGCCTTTGAGCACTTCCACCATTTTTGGTTTCACCTCTTCCACATTGGCAAAACGTTTCCCTTGAGCACTTTCATCCAGAAAACCAAAAAACAGTTGCTCAGGGTGAAATCTAGTGAATCAGGCAAGTGGAGCACAGGAGTCATGCTGGTTTGGTCAAAAACTGCTGAGCACTCAGCGCGGTGGAAGCAGGTGCTTTGTCATGGTGGAAGAACCAGTCACCTGTTTTCCACAACCCAGGATGTTTATTCCACAATGCAGCCTCTCCCAACAACACTAGCTGGTACACGAATGCTGACAGGTTCCTAGAACACTTATCTAGTGGGAGAGGCCTGTACTGCAAAGGGCACGCCCTCCAAAAGATAATTCTGGTTTTTGGGGTTTCCCCTCGTGTGTGTGCGTGGTTGGCATGGCCGTTCTCATCTTTATCTTATTTAAGAAATGTCTTCTTTCATCTGAGACAGAAAGTGGCTGTCTCCCTGGACCTCTTGGCCTCATGAGTCAGTGAACACTCCTGGGCTTCAGCAACCGAAACCCAGATCTCCTCTTTCACACCACCTGCGCGTATTTGCAGAAAGACAAAATTGTGTCAATGGAGTGTCAAACACCAGAGCGGTAGAGAATGCAAAAGATATGACTGACCTTTTGCAGTCCTGAAAAATGAGATGGTCAGAGGCTTGAGGTCACCTAAATCAACATGACATCATATTCTGTATGCACAGACATGCGTAAAGATACATTAATCTGATAGTCATACCGTGGGAAAGTCACCCTTTTATGGGTACACATGTAGATTTAGAAAGTTTTAGTGGCTTGTCTAGGGTACCATAACCCCCAATATTATGAAGACAGGAATTAAATGTAAATGTGTTAGCACCGTGTCCAGGGCTCTGTCCCACATGACACCTGCCTCTTCTGAGCTTTAGTAATGTGCTTTCTCATTTGTTCTCCTGAATGCCGGGCACTCAGGACGCTGTGGCTAATAAGACGTGGCCTCTGTCTTCACAGCAACCTCGCAGCCTGGCCGGACAAGGGCGTGCCATCCAAATTGGCCATGATGGCCAATGGGATGTCTTCCACACCAGCAGGGGTGGAGCAGGCTGGGGGAGCACACGTGAGAGACGTCTTAGCAAATCAGGAGTGGGCGACACTTCCCAGAGGAATTGCCGTTGACAGAGCCCCCGGGGGTTATTGGGAGTTGACAAGGAAGAGTGCTCCTCGCCCAAAATAAAGCATAAAGATAGCCACTCCTCAGAGGGGGTGACCCTAAGTCAGGTCCAGAATAGGGGAAAGCCCAGAGGGTTTACAGCCAACGCAGTGCACCCATTTCTAGTGTTGGGCTAATCAGTGGCGTCATCCCCCATCCATACATCCATCCGTTCTTCTAGTCTCCCACCCTCCCTCCC